GTAGTCACAGGCCACTGCTCTGCTTCATTATACTAGAAGGAAAAGATCTGCTCACAAATCGATGGCAGCTTATGAAGAAGAAGATATCGACACGGTAAAGTGGTCTCAAGTTTACTGCTAATCGATGGATTTCAGATTTGGTATTTATAGATGGATTTCATATTTCTCAAGTTATAAATATGGTTAAATATTTACAGAATCTGTTGGTTTCAGATTCTAAGAATTTTTTAAACTGAAATGGAGTACATGGATTTTTTAACTACTTTCTTGTTGTTGTTGCTCTGTAAAATATTCTCACTCATTATGAAAGACGTGAATATCACAAAGAGCTTAACATTCTCTATGATTTCAAGAGCGGGGTTATCTTTTCTTTGTTTGGTTTTTGTTCTGTTATTATAACCCTGCAAGTAAACAAGGGCAAGCAAGCATAGGATTAGTATCCAGAGTTTAAAGTGCATTTTCTTTGGCTAAGTGGATGAGATAAAGGCTGAAATGGAGTACTTGGGTTTCTAAATTACTTTCATATTGTTGCTCTGTAAAATATTCTCACTCTCTCTATGGGAGTTTGCATTTTAAGATTAGTATCCAGAGTTTGGTAATGAGGTGCGGTGTTGAAGAGAATGAAAGAGTAGAGAAAAAATGTAAGATGTTTTACCAAAGGTCCCTCACCATGCTGTTTTGTTTCAAAACAAAAACAGGACAAATTGAATCTCATAACAATAGTGCATTGTCCAAGTTTTGTACCAATATAAAAACCTCAAATATCAAATGTCACATTCACAATGAAAGGCATTATTTATCAACCAAAAAAAAAAAAAAAAATCACACAAAGGCATTATTGTTGTTTCTGGTGCATTCTAAATACTTTTTGAGTTTGCTAAATACTTTTGAAATACTGATATGAAGTTTTTTTTATATTTATTGGGTTTTTTTTGTGTTTTTCTATTGTTTTTTCTTTCTCTCTTTGGGAGTGAGGATTGGTAAGCTGTGATAAATTTCGTTTTTGTTGTGGCAAGGCGTTGGTTGGATATTTTGCTTATGGTCATGTATTGCTTAACAAATATTCCAATTTTATTTTGAATTTTTAGAAGTATTCAGAATTTTCAGTTCAAGCTTGGAAGCAAAATGAATCTTAATGGGTGATTTGGGTTTTTGGACAAAGTATCCATAACCTGCCACCACCACCACCACCACTAGCTACCCACCACCCACCGTTACCATTTTCCACCACCGTCTTCTGCCACCACTTGCCATTTCTCACTTTTTTTTATATTTTTAAATTTTTTTAAACATTTTGTCAATTATCAAACGCGTTTGTAGTGTATGTTTTTCAAAAAATAAACAAAAACCAGTTTATAAAATTTTTGTAAATATAAACTGAAAACGTAAACATTACCAAACACAGAACAAGTTAAATAAAACAGTGTTTTAAATACATTACTTCAAATTTGAAGTAATATTTTCAACATGACTTCACAAAATAACATGAGTTCAAGAAAAAAAATTAAAAATATTTAATTTGAGAAAATATTTTAAACTGGTGTCACCAAATCTCATATGAATGAACTATGCACACCATCTCCTTGGTATTTCTAATCAACTATTTTGAGAGATTAATCAATAATTCTAGGTGCATGGATAAGAAACACCGAATTGCAAGTCATCTATATCACATTCTCCCTTGTAAGACATCTATGTCCCATTCTGTATTTCTCCAATGTGCACCTAGCATTGCTCAAAATTAATTATAAAAAAAAAGAAAAAGAAAAAAAAGGTCAAAGCACCACCAATTTGTTGTTAGGTAGCTTTGAATAAGTCTCTTTCTTATTTCTCAAATACCCATTAGAACAGAAATATGGCCACCATCCTAGAAGGAAATTAGATCCTATGCAGGGAAGACTTGAACCATTAAACTATATATATATAACAAACACATACTATGTAGGGGAGACTCAAACAATTAAACTAAATATATAACTCCCACAATAAAGTTGATGCTTTTTGTAGTTTCCAGTCCAAAAGACTGGATAGGATCAGTCAGTTCCAGCTCAATTTTGAAAGGATAATACCAAACTGTAATTTCCATGACATATTATAGCAATTATACAAAAGACAGTATTATTTTCAAAGAAATAGCCAACTAAAATTTTAAATAAAAATATGGTTCATAAAATTCACTGCAAATTTTTGATTTGACAAATCAAGTTGGCACAAAACTCACTACCAAACTAAGTCATGGAGTTTTACAAGCAGCTGACCCCATTTGAAAGGAAACCTCCATACAAACACATATTCTAATCACAAACTACTCTTCCTCACAAGTGTTACTCACAGAATGTGACATAATAATAAATCGTTAGAATTTGAAAAGAGACTCATGAAATAACATGATAAGAGCAACTTGATCACCACATGATGCACTATAGTTAACCCATTAAATGGATAACCAGCAACCAACACTCATCAAAAAGAACCAAAAGCCAAGACATTTAAAAAACGTGCATAGACACAATCGGAGAGATAAAGAAATATTCAGTAGTCATTGCATTATATAAATTTTTAAAGAAAATATAAAGTGTACAACTGTACATTTATCAAGGGCAAGGTTTTATATATGAGTCATATTTTGCAGAATTATTTAATACAAAGGCCCCGGAGATGAAAATGGCATCATCAGGCGAGAAGGAAGATATTAATGGTAACCTTAATAAGCTGGCGGAGAAATTGTCACCCAAATGTGTTTTCCCCACTGTATGTGACGTAGAGAAACCCATCTTCATCCTTCTTCTCGTCATATATAGTAGACATTATTGCTCCTGTGATAATCAAAAGTTGTAATATAAATCTACGGAGATAGACCACTAACCGAGCATATATCCTAATAGTTTGAGATTGCACAATAGAAATAGCAACCTATATTTTGGAAATTCTGCATTTACATCCTGTTAGTGTCGTTATTAAATTTGGTAATTCCATTGACAGAACGAATCCTAATCAAAATGTAACTTTTAGTGAGTTGTCAGCTATATGTTGTGTTAGTTTTAGCCTTAAGCGTTCTGCATTAACAAGGCTTGAAACATCATAGAACAATGTACAACTTTAACAAAAGTGCAAGGTAAATCCCTAGTGCAGTTGAGATAAAAATGGTGAAGTTCACATTCTCTACCGTAAGTGATTGAACTGACTTCTGTGCTCGAGTGGTGTTTCATCAAAATGCTCATATTGTGTCCTTTTGTTTGTGCACTTGAGCGGGCTTTTGTGAGCTAGAGCACAGTGCACTGTTTTTGCAAGCTTTAAGTCGGTTTAACACATGGAGAAGGCATAAAGTAGCCTTTAAATCATCTAAGGACATCTTAACTATAATTAGGATCATAGGGGAGGACCGAAAATTAAGCAGAGTGCTTGAGAATATATTTTGCCAAAAATCACTCCATCTTTGATCTATTCTTTATCATTGTTCATAAATTGGTGATTGCCTAGGTGGATTTCAAGAGTGGGTTAGTAGATAGTGTTCAGTTTGTGGTGGATTCTAAAAGTATTGTGAATTCAAAACTCAAATCAACATTTGAAGAGCTGAGATCATGGGACTTGGTCAGTACAAGGAGCACACCCATAAATTCATGGATCCAACACTGTGAATTTGGTTTAGGTTCAGTTGTAAGTTACATTTTTAATTTTGTTCTTTATAATGGATTAGTTGGTTTTTCTCAGTTTGGTTTTCTACGTTAAAAATCGTGAGCCTCTATCTTGTGTGTAATTGCTTTATTGTATGCTTGTGATTTAGAATGTGTGATAAAATTAATCAATCCAAAAATTCCATAACAAATCCATATCGACAAAATCCATTTTTTTCACTTCCCAATTTGGAACCCACTAGGTCTCGTTTGATAACATTACTTTTTAGTCTAAAAGCCAAAAAATCACTAAAAAAACCAAAAAACCAACAACCTATACCAAAAAGTTAAAGATTCTCTTTTTTTCTCTACTTTTTGCATATCTTTTCGTAAAAAAATCAAAAAATAATCCCAAAAAACATACTGTTTTTTTTTACCTCATATTTTAGCCAAAAAGTAAAAAAGTTGCTAAAATAAATTGTTCCCAAACGAGGCCTTATGTTTAGTTCATGGATTTGAGGAGGAATTTGAAAACGGAAAGAGAAAATGTAGGTGAAATATAAATGAAATACAACTAAATTTTACCTGTATTTCACACATCTTTTCCCTTTCCTTTCCAAATCTCTCAACCAAATCCATGAACCAAACATAGTCTAAGAAAATTTATGATTTGTCCAAATTTGAATCAACCATCTTTTGTACAAAAAGTATAAATCATTCAAAATATATTTCGTTTAATAAGGATCCAAACTATTATTAGAATTACTATCTTTTATGAATATAAAGTCCTTGTCTAATGTTGGCTATGGGAAAAAAAAAAAAAAAAAAAAGGTTATAATTCTGAACTAAACAAAAAGAGCATCAATGGAGCACATAAACTTGTAATGCAGGTACCTGTAGGCGGAAGGATGTTGTCCACAAATATGAAGATTGCTTTCTCAGCACTCAGTTTAATTCTCTTCCGGATCACATATACAAATTGTCCCACAGTCAGGTCAGCTGGAACAAGGTATCTGGAATTATCTTACTCAAGTGAGTGGAAAAAATTCAATACTTTTAAGAAAACAAATGCTAATAGTTGCTAACTTTTTCAGCATTCAGGTCAATTGCCTTCTGGATTAATAAAAGGTTTCCCTACCATTAAAAGACTTGACCCACATCAGGTCAGCCCGGACAAATCATGTCCCTAACAATTTTATTCAAATCAATCAAAAGGATTTCAATACTAGTAAATCAAAGAAACACTAAAATAATCACTGTCCCTGAGCTATAGACTTTCCATCATTCAGGAGGGAGTTCTCAGCTATGAAGCACGGACACTGACACGGACACGGACACGGATACGGACACGGGACACGACAATTTCCAAAAAATGGGGACACGGACACGGACACGGCAAGGGACACGGCAAATCTTTTAATTTTTTTATAAATATTTTTATTTTAATACACATTAATTATTTTATTTATTTATTATATTTTTTTTCCATCATTCAGGAGGGAGTTCTCAGGGTCAACCCTTCAAATTGAGCAAGCAACTGAGAGAGATGGGTGGAACGAGTTACACAAAACAACTGCATTCCACCTTCCCCTCCAAAAAAACGAGAGGCATGTAATAGCCAATACCAAGTACATGTGATGCTGACCGGAAAGGCATTGGATGACAACAATTGAAAAATAAAGGAATTTTATTTTATTTTCTTTACTAGGATTATTTCTAGTTTTTATTAAATTATTTACAAGGGTTTTATTTTTGGTAACTTTAATTTGACTAGGGTTTCCTAGATGCCTATATATATGATTTTATGTAATAGTTTTTGAGACTAGACTAGATGAATATTGAACAATTGATTATTGAGATTGATATTGAGAGTTGTTTTGGAATTGTAATTCCCAATTTATTCTTCTTCCTGGTGGTACATCAACATAACTGCAAATTTTTTCATTTGTTCATTTTCTTCAATTTCAATGTCATCTTCAGCCTTCATGCAGTTATGTATATCGATAGATAGAAAAAGAGAAAGGAAAAAACATGAAGGAGCTATTCAAGGCATAGTAAAGAATATTCCACACATATATTACATTTCGAGACAAGTATTGCACGTCCTGTCCGTTATTAATTTCTAGGTGATGAGAGAAAGGTGTGCAGATTTCCATGCCAAACTTGGACAACTTGTAATTCACTTGTAATAACTATGGTTGGCATAAGGGTGATAAACAAACAAAGGATAAATAATACCAAAATAATTAGCTAAACAGGAATGTGGCATCAAGTTGAAAATATCTTCACTTACTTTTTCTTGTCGATGTTAGGAATATCACTTCTCTCAGCCTTCTCCACTATCACCTTTAGAGCAAGAGGTAAACATCAAAAAGAAGCATGTATTTATTTATTTACTGAGATGATGATTTACGTAAACCAATGAGAAGAATAATCCTATGAATCTCACATACTATGGATATAACAGGAACAAGAACCACCTACTCTACCCCTCCCAAACCCCCATCCAATGGGGACTAGATTGGGCATACTTTTCATCAACCCAATAACGAATCTATGAAACAGTAACCACATTATGAATGATTTATCAAAACCAAATGAGGTGAAACCAATTTCATTTTTTTCAGAAACCAAAGTTTCCATGAATTAACACATTTATAATTGCTAAATTACACAAGGTATTACAGTGCTTGACAAATGCATTAAAGCTCCAAAAGTAAGATTTTAGAAAGTGCAACTAAATTTCCAAAATGAAAAAATAAAATTGGGCATTCACTAGAAAGCATAGTACAAATCTGCAGCATACATATGCACTACAGTCTACAGCTAAATACAAGTATATTCAAAGGCCGCATACATGTACTAACCACATTACTGCATGGATACACCAACTAAATAACCAAGACCAGACAACATTTTACGCTATATAGAGCCAAACTTTATCAATCAACTAAAGTGACTCTAGTCGAGTCAACCCAATTGTCTCAACCAAACTCCTCAATCATGAGCCAAAATTCCATACAAACATCCAATTAAACTAAGAATTACTTGAACATAACACAATGTGCGAGTTCTCAACATTGAGCTATTTAAATTCTAAAATGCTTCAAATTTCATATTACAGGGCACCAAAAGGAAACTTGTATTATGGGGGTGTTTATTGGAGATTAATTTAAGCTAAAAGTTGATAATCAGAAAGCAGAAGCTACAAGCACCCCTCCCTCAGCTTCTGAAAAATCAAATTTTTTCAACTTAAGCTATTTCTGCCTAATAAACTGTAAGCAGAAGCTGCATCAAACAATCTGGCACAAACTCCCAAATTAAAATAAGCTATAAGTTGCTTGAATAATCTGCACCAGACACCCCCTATGTTTGATAACGCCGATCAGATCATGAAAAACCAAATATACTAAAAGTCTAAAATAATAGTATTATTTGTCATTGTAGCTGTGATGTAGTCATAGTGAATGTGATAAGATAACGAAAATGAACAAAAAGAACAAGTTATTCACAGATCATTGGATGCAGAAGAAAACAAAATTTGAGACCCAAAATTTTAAATTACATATTTTATTCTTACAGGAATTCTGTCTGAGTATTTCTCCCTGATTCTTGCAGCCTCAGCACGCCTTTTCTCTGAAAATTGGAACAAAATATTAAGCACCCAACATCAACATTGCCATACAGACAAATGATATAAGACACAAAGTGGAGTACAGTAAAAAAGACCAGTACATACCAAAATCATGCTCTTGCTTGAAATAGATCTTAGTCATCCTTGCTTCAAATGCTGCACAATGCAGAGGAAAAATTCAATAGCTTAAAACTACATATTTCCATCTAGCAAATAGTCCTCTTCTTAAAAACAACACCCAAATAGTGCACATTAATGTGTGGTTTAGTCCTCTTCTTGCACTCTTAAAATCAAACTACTTAAGAAAATAGTTTGGGGCGCATTATTTTATAGAAACCAATTTCATGAGATGCAACTGTAAAAAAGAAAACTCTATTTGCGGAAGATATAAACCATTTCTAACAGGTCCCAACTAAATTCAACTCATCAAACCCTTGTCCTTGATCAACTAGAGGAATCCTATTTTGTAAGTTTGCTCAATTAAAGGGCAATAATTCTAGTCAAACAACGAGTTAACACGTCTTTCTCTATTATCTTATCTCAACCCAAATCAATTTTGGTCTCTCACATCTCATAGCATCACCTCAAAGAATAGTGTCACTCTTCCTTTGAACTGATGCAATTATCAGTCTTTTAACAAATAACAACTAAAATTTAGGGGAGGAATTCAACTTAGAATTCGAAAGAAACAATCAAATAGTACAAAAAGAAAATAAATAAATAACACTTTATACACTATAAGAAATTGAATACAGTTGACTAAATTCATAACAACATGAATCCCAAAAAACCCAGAAAGGGAGAGAATCAAAATAAGCGATTTAAGGAGGAATACCAAATTTAGGATCGAACATATTGGCATGAAAGAGAAATTCAAAACCCTAAGATTAATATATATGCTCATATAGTATATATATATATATATATATGAGGAAAGACTGAAGATTTTAAGCGATCAATCAATTGAGATTAACAAAATAAAGGGAAAGATTATAAGAACAAGAAAGAAAAACAACAAAATTAGTAGAAGATATATACCGTGTCTCTTGCAGATAAGCAGGCTAGAGCTGTCTTTGGTCTCTTTCTCTTGGGGGGTAAAAGACAGTTGAACACAGGGTAGGGTATTTGGTTGAATTGACAAAGCCCCAAGAGTATTTAATGGGTGAGCTACTACGGTCCACCACACGTAACTGTGTGCTGCATTCCTTTGTGGAACAGGTGGGTGTGAAATTTGTAATTCGATCGAGTCTAGTTCAAATTAGTAGGTTTGGATTGATTTTTTTGAATCCGTAGTTCGGTTTTGAATTGAAAAATTAAAAATCTGTAATTCATAGATTGGTTCTGGATTGAATCTCACAATTTCAGATTGGAACTGATCCGGACCATATATAAATAGTCAATACTTTTATTATATGCCCTCCTGCATAGTATCTTCTCTTATTTCATATAAAACTTAAATCTAAACCTAAACTTGTATAGTATTTTCTTTTATTACTTTTGTTTGTTAGTTTTTAGTTTTAATTTGTAATGGTCTAAATACTTATGGTGGAACTAGTTTCTTTATGGTTATTTAAATTCTAGAACAGTTTGTCATTATTATGAAAAGACATGTTGTTATTGTGAAACTAATATGGTGGTATATTTATATTTTCATGAAAATAAAGTGTTATATATATATTTTTGTTATTTAATTATATAAATTCGTGATCCTAAACTGATTCAATCCGTATTTAAATGGATTGATTCGGATTGGTTCTACGATTTAAACAGATTGGATTGGTTCCAATTTTGCAAGATTCGTAGATAACGGATTGGTCCTAGTTTTACTCCAATCCAGACCATGCTCACCCCTAGAACAGGACGCTTTTCGGCACTGGTGGGTCCTCATCTAAGTCGATATTGATAATTCAAATCGTTGAATGTGAACAACTCACCCAGTATATTATTTTTGTAAAAAATTATATTGATCAGATATCAATAACAATTTGATTTGATCATATTTTTCAAAATAATTTTCAAATATGATTTTCAAAATAAAGTAGGACAGGTATGGTATGATCAAGTGATTATCGATATTCAACCAATATAATTTTTTTATAAAAATAATATATTTAACGAGTTCTACATATTCAATGATTTGGATTATTGACCTAAGTTCGAATCGAGGCCCACCAATGCCCAAAAACACCCCCCACGTCATTGGAGAGGAGTCCCTTCTTTTGTTAGGTTGTTTGTTCAACTTCTGCTGACATTATAACCGTTGGAATATAATTTTTAATTTTTTTATGGATAAATTATATTTATTTTTGTAAAAAATATATAGCTCTCATTTGGGAACTTGATTATTTTGAGACGAAAAAAATTATAGTTTGGATGATTTGTGAATTCTTTTGTAATTGAATAAATAGTTGTGAGAGAAAAAAATAATTGATTGATATATAAAATGTGACATTTTGTCTTATCGACTATTTTAACCTTTTTTTTTGCGTGCCTTTATTGATTATTTTAGCGAAAATTCTTGTTCCCAAGTCTTATAATTTCAATATAATTATATTAAATTATTTTAAAATTTTAATTCAAATAACACTTATTTTCTTTTTTATTAGGAAATAGTGTTAGGCAAATTTTATTATAGACACCCCTTTTGGGATATGTATTATATACTCCAGTTATGACGTTTGTGTTATTTGATTATGATTTATTGTGATATTAGTTATGAATCATTATCATGTTGGTTATGACTTAATTATTATTTTGGTTATAAGCTAAAAGATTTTTGATTATACATTATCTAATGTTTGGTCATAATTCATTATTATTTTTAATTATGAATTAGTGTCATAATTTACATATGATACATATCCTTTTGAGAGTGCATAATCTAGAATGACCTATGGCATTAAAATTTATTTTACACTTAAATATATATATATATATATATTTCACATTATTTATTTTTGTGTCCTTACACCATTTGCATTAGGTTGAATCCTTAAAATAACCTTGTTAAAAGGGATATTGGTGTAATTAAATCAAAATTGTAGTGTTTGCTATTATTTTTTTAAATTTCAAAAAAAGTTAATATATGTGTATATATTGGAAACAATATTTTATAGTGTATTAATGAGTTGATTTAGACATTGAGATTTGACCTAATGGTATAGTAGTCACACCTTAAGGTGAGATAAGAAGGAGATTAGAGATTCAAACCGATGAAGCAATATCAAATCTCTTCAATTATAGTGGTGAATCCGTTCAATCGTAGTCAAACGATGCGCTTTCTTTGGGAGAAGCAAATGAATGAGTTGATTTGGTAAGAAATGATAATAAAAGAAAAGAAAAATTAAAATTAAAAGAACTTTTGCTCATGGTTTGCTTATAAATTATGTGTGAAATAGTGTATTTTATTTCTATCCAAAAGTAGTAATATTTGTTTTGACATAAACTTGATTGGTTAGAGTTTTTCAAAAAAAAAATTTAGAAAATTTTACTTTATTGTTTTCCGTATTTTTTTGTTTTTACTGAATTTTTTTAATATTTTTTTAATTTTTAGACATACCTAACATAAATATACCTAAAAAGTAAAAAAAATTGTTAAAAAAATCTTTTAAAAATTCACTAAATACCAAAAATACAAAAAAAAAATGAGAATTCAGTACATTATTTATATTTTTATGTATTTATTAATTTTTTAAAATATTTTTTCACAAATTTTTTATTTTTTAGATACATCTAAGTAAGGTTCATCTAAAAAAGTAAAAAAAAAAATGTTTAAAATTTTAAAAATATTCACTAAAAACAACAAAATACGAAAATCAAAAAACTCAATTTATAAAAAATTTAATCCAAAAAACTCATACCAAACAATTTTCTATTAACAAGATTACAAAGAAAAAAAAAATACTGTAAGAAAAAGGCTCATTCATATCCATCTCTCACTTAGCCTATGTTTGGGAAGTTGGGTTTGAAGATTTTTTGGTTAAAATAGTTACAAAAAACAAAATAAGTTTTTTAACTCAATAAGACAAAATATCACATCCAACTCATAATTATTACATTATTTCTCCTACAAAAAATCAAAAAAGCCAAAAGTCCTTCCCAAACTAGGCTTTTTAACATCGAGCTAAAATAGTCAAAAAAATCAAAAAGTCAAAAGTCAACCCACTTCCCAAACGAAGCCTTACTTTGCTTCTTTTTTTTTTCTTTTTCTTTTTTACTTATTCAAACATTATATTGGAAAATAAAATTGTTTGTTTTCTTTTCTCAAATCAGTGAAAAATCCAATCTTTCTTTCCTTATTTTATATCAAGTATAGGTTTGTACGTTTGACAAAAAAAAAAATTTAAATTAAATAAATAAATAAAATAAATAATTATAGAAGCAAAGGTCTCCCACAATATCTATGCAAATTTTAACCATTTGCTGAATTTTGTACTGAAATTGGAGAAATATTAATTATTTTTAAAAATTTTAAAATGTTTAAACCCTGTCAACTTGTAAAATATGAAATTCTGGTCTGGTGGATGAAATGTTTTCTCCTTATGTGTGAAGCTCGAGTATGAATTTCATTGTCACATGATGCAACTTTTCTTATTTTTTATTTTTGATTGTATGTATAAATGTAACTTGTAAAATGATTACTTACTCCCTCTTTTTAGTTTTCTTATTAAAAAACAAATTATTTCTCTCTCTCTCTCTTTTTTTTTTTTCTTTTTTTTTTTTCATAAAGGCATTTCTTTTTTTCTTTTTTTTTTTTTCATAAAGGCATTTCACCATTGAGATTTGAATCCTTAATTCAATTTCAAGTTTAAATCGTTTAAAACTTTCAAGATAAATAATAATTTTTAATATTTGCATAATGAAACTAAAATTTGAGAGAGAAAATAGGAAAAGGTTTGATGGATGATTATACTGTATCTTCAAATTACATAGTAATCCTTGAGTGATCCAATAACAACAAAAATAATATACACACACAAAAAAACTTATCATTGCAAATAAATTAATCAATATTTTAGACTTTCTGAAAATAAATATGTGAGAAAGGGCTTCAAAAGTAGCATGACTTAGAAATCTAAAAAGCCAACCCAAAAAAATAAAAAATAAAAAAATTCAAAGTAAACTCCTAAATATTTTTTTTGGACACTCACTTTAAATATCTCCCTATACTTGTTTGTATAAGACTAATTTTATTTATTTATTTATTTTAAGCACGTCCAAGTGAGTCCAAGGTTAGTTGATGTGGCATGACCTAATATAGAGGTAAGCAACATGAGAGTTGTTAACACAAGGGCAAACCCTAATCAAAGTGTGATTCTTAAGTTGTACCTATATAAAAGAACTATCTAAAGTGCTCGTTTGCTATTCTTCATGAGGCTAAAAAATCACAAAATGGCAAAAAAAAGTCAAAAAATCACAAAAAGTCAAAAATCACAAAAGGACAAAAAAAAAAAATCACTAATCCAAAGCTAAAAAGCTAAAAAAGTCAATCAAGGATACCAAACGAATAAAAAAGTCTCAGGCTAAAAAAGTCAAAAAAGTCAAAAAGTCAATTAAAAAAGTCATTGTCAAACGACCCCTAAGTTGGATAAAGAAAAGTTAAACTAAGAAGTTGAATCTAATCCAATTAGCAAAGTGTTCTAGATAAAAAATACATGTTAGGTTTATTATTTATTTATTTATTTATTTTTGGATGGAAAAAGAAACTCAAGGAAGCAACATGACATTCCTATAAGTGCGAGTCACTAGCTAATTTGAATTAAAGGTAACTAGGTATAACTCGTCTTATGCACATGATTAAATAATGATAAATAAATTTATTTTTTAATTAATTGGAAACAATTTTAAAAGAATAGGTAAGTAAATTTTAATTGTTTTTAACTAAATGGTTATTTAAAATTAATATTTTAAAAGGCTTTTTGACTATTTTAAGACATAAGAAAAGTTAGTGTTTGGGAATGAATTTTTTAATTGTATGAGAAAATGTGAAGAAAATTCATTAAGAAAATTCTTGAACTTGGATAAGAACATGAAATTAACCTCACTCCACGGCTTGAATCAATAAAATCTTAAAGTCAATTTAAAAAAATCATATTTATTTCTAAATTAAATAATTCGAAAAACATTAGCCTATCTTGATTATGTTTTCT